AAATGCATTGTTTACTCCCACTGACGCCAGGACAATTTCTTCTCCCAATGGCCACAGTCCAGCCCACCTAAAGTCTTAAGGACAGTAAACTGGCCTTTTGTTTAGAAAGTTTGGAGACCCTTGCTCTAGTCCTAACACACTTCCTGACCTAGGGTGACAGGGCTTCTACCTCATAGATAGGGGCATTTATTTTTTAAAGCACTGGAGAGTGCAAAATCAGGCTCTCTTCTGTATATATAAACCAATCAGCTTCCAGGTTTTATTGCCAAAGCTTAATCGAACAAGCTGAGGTTAGAAGCTGATTGGTTTCTATGCAGAAGTGAGCCTGCACTCCTCAGCTTTAGTAAATAAACCCCGGTGTCAGAAGTGTGTCTTATATGCTGGACCAGTTAAAAGGCGTTAAAAATAGAAAAAAAAAACGTTTCAGTCAGATCTAAGGACTGGCAAGTAGAAATATATAACATTTTGGTTCTTGTTTAACCCCCTGGCGGTATTCTCGAGTGTAGCTCAGGGTTAAGTTTCAGTACCAGAAGCGGTAACCCCCGAGCTACACTTGGGGTTACACTGCAGCGTTGCTCTGGGTTCTCTGGATCACTTACCTTGTCCCGCGGCCCCGCGCTGTCCTCCCCTGCGTCCCCCAGCCATGTCCTCCGGCCGCTGCTGGCATCCGTGTTCCAGGTTCCGTTTCTTGTGAGTGCCGGGACGTACGGGGAACGGAACTGGCAGGAGATTCAAAAATTTTGAAATGTTACATACACATAATACACTAAAATCTCATAGTATAACATTACTGTTTCAAACCATTTCACATACATTTTGTTCCGAGTGCTTTGTCCTGTGCCCTGCCTGCATTTTTACCGTTCTTTCTGCCTGGAAACTGAGAAACATCCATGGCGTCCAAAAAGAGTCCCTTTAGGTCAAAAGTGGTTTTAGACCAGCTAGTGAACAGCGATAGTAAATCAGAACTACTTGCTGAATTGAGTGATAATGATTCGTGGGGAAATCATCAGACACTGAAAACAATTCTGCGACTGAGCTCAGTGATGTGCGAACTTGGCGCTATATTTAAAATTTCCGTGTTTTTGGTTTGATTACATTATTGAATAACATTTATTATTATTATATATATTTTTTATGATTATTTATTATATTATAATTTACGATTTAGTGTTTAAAATGTTATCATACCCAGGATGTTTACTAGACTCTTGATCGGACAGATTTCAATGAGTTATTCCTAAAAATTACAGGCCTACAATAAAAAAAAAAAAACATTTTTCCATTGAAAACAATGTACCGCTTTGAGCACAGAAATACTGACATAATCAGACCGCTAGGGAGGTTAATAAACGTTGCAGGATATAGCAGGAGAAAGCCAGCTCTTGACCTTTGAAAAATGAGTTTCAAGGGCATGATGTTTGCACAATAATACCATCATTTAATTTTGTTTAAGCAAGGAAAAGGGTTAAAGAGCACCTTCAAGGTGTATGTTGAGTCAGTTAGCAAAGTTAATATTACTTATGATTTGTTTCTGCAAAAAGCAGTACTGTTATATATTATTGTATATTATACATATTGTATTATATATGTTATTATATACTATTTCTTCTAACAGAAGGTTTTTAAGCCCCCTACTTACTTTTTTGAGTTTACAAATTTGACATAGACAGCTCAAGCAAGCCTCTAACAGGGCTCCAAGACAGGCGTGCAGCTTCTTGCCACATGAAGCATGCTATGCAACCTCCCTCTCATTCTCATGAGTGTGGGTAGGAATGCAGCTCGGAAAGATGGAGCACATTGGGGTTGATTTACTAATGGCAACTATGCTGTTTACTTTGCAAGAAAAGTTTCCCCAGAGCTTAGTAAATGATGTTAGGCTCTGCTGACTTACACCACCTATCATGGTGCCATCATGGCTCAAAACACGTTAGCCTGTTGGAAGTCCAGGGTTCCATTTTGTTGGAATTATATGCAATGTGGATTGGACACCGCTGTTTGGTGTGATGTGCCTTTGACCTGTTTGCCTATTGTGAATACGATACTTACTTTTTATCCTTCCAATAAATGTTTTATGAGGTGCGCCCTCTGTTTGTTTTTCTTTGTATCCAGTGACATTGGACTACCCCAGTCCATTGAGGGCAGCAATGAGTGCATTTTCCAGGATATCTGTGATGTTACCATAACCCCAGCCGAGTCCATCCCGAAGCACAGGAGTACAGAGTTTGCTGTATCACACTAGCTGTGTCTGAATTATGTGTCACTAGATTGTAACTTGGGGAACACAATGCAAATGTAATATACACCCTTTAGTCTGAATATGTAATCTATATTCACAAAAAAAATTGAAAATAGCAACAAATATACTGTATTTATTTTTGTCTCAGAGAGGTTGGGGGCCTTCTAAGTCCAACTGGTCCCAAACATCAAATGGAACTAGCAATGCAAAAGGAGGATTCAAGGATTGGCTGCTCAGGCAAAGGCATCCAATCAACACTTCTTCCTCTCGCATCTCTAGTCCCATAGCTGCAATTTTCTGTAGGAAGTAGAAAGAACAGAGATCTATTAGTCTTGAAAGAAGATTAGAACATATTTGATTACTATTTTTTAGCTTTTTGTGAACACTGGCACATTGGGGCTAGGTGGAGCTATACTCAGCTTCTGACTTTAGATATACTTTAATTTAAAATATCATTGCCTAAAGGTTGCTTATAAAGGAACACTATCAAAAGACATTACATGCTGTCATTATGGCCACTTTAGAATTGTTATGGTGATGTGTCTGAAAAATTCTGAACTTTAGGGGTCTAGTTATAAAACATTTGTTGAATGAATGTCATGTGTATTCGTGCAGGCTGGGTGAATTTCCCATTTATTTTCTGTAATAGATTAGTTCCAATGTTCTTCAACTCCATTGAGTGACCAAAATAATTTTCTCATTGAAGTAGTTGAGCAATCTCTAACACATTTTGGCTACTGGATGGAAGAAGAAGATAAAGATCATAGGAATTAACCTATTACAGAAAACACAGGGAAAATTCCTCCAGCCTGCACAAATGTATGTGACATTTGTCCAACAAATGTTTTATAAATTTACAGGTAAAGAATGTACATTTTTGAGAATCATGGCAAGGATAATTCAATATTTTTAGATTTCCCCTCTTTCTTTCTAGGTGACAATGGTCACCATTACAAATACACAGACAGCAGTAAAAACTAAGGTTATTAGTGGTGTACCCCAAGGTTCAGTGTCTGGACCCTTACTTTTTATTATATTTATAAATGATATAGGGTCTGGGATTAAAAGTACCATTTCAGTCTTTGCAGATGACACAAAGCTATGCTGTGGAATAACATCCTTTTAGAATGTCTACAAGACGACCTTAATGCACTATTTAATTAGGCAACCATGTAGCAAATGAGACTTAATGTTGATAAATGTAAAGTTATGCACTTCAGGGGCTAAAACATGCATGCATTATACACTTCAAGGGAAGAACAGCTGGGGGAGTCAATGTTAGAGTAGGATCTAGGTGTTCTGGTAGATCATAGGCTTAATAATAGCATGCTATGCCAAGCTGACATTTTTAAAGCAAGCAAATTACTTTCTAATATTAAAAGAGGTATGGGCTGGAGAGAGAGAGAGGCATCATTTTGTCCCTGTAGAAATCAATAGAAAGACCTCATCTGGATATTGGAGAACTGGATATAGTGCAGAGATGGGCAACCAAACTGATAAGAGGCACGGAGGAGCTCAGCTATTGTTGGAATACATTGTTCATATATTTTGTGCAACAACTATTGTACATCAGTATCAGTGTTCAATACAGATATATTCTTCAACCAGTAGGTGGCAGTATTTATACAGTAAGTTTGTTTCTGCATCTATGATAAACTCTGTAGGGTTGATTTACTAAAGGCAAATAGACTGTGCACTTTGCAAAGTGCAGTTGCACTATGCAGGTGCAGTTGCTCCAGAGCTTAGTAAATGAGGTAAAGGTTCACTTTGCAAAGAATACCTGATCATGTGCAAGGAAAATAAAAAAAAACAACATTTTTACTTAAACATGATTGGATGATGGAAATTAGCAGAGCTTCTGCTCATTTACTAAGCTATGGAACAACTGATCCTGCAGAGTGAAACTACCATTTGCAAAGTGCATAGTCTATTTGCCTTTAGTAAAACAACCCCTAAGTATTTTCTCTATAATGAAGTTCCTGTTTCTTGTCTGCAGAGCAGCCGCAGATAAATATGTGGACTGTGCACTGTCTGTTATGTAGGGCTATATACAGAATCCCCAACAGGTTATGGGCCCAGATCCTGTTCCAGTCATACCCAGACACCCAGCCTTAGCCAGCTACAGCAAAAGAAGTGCAAGATACAGCAACAGAAAGAAGACTGCAACCTATTAAAATACAATGGTCTGTAACACAGCTGCAACAAAGCTTCCATTTGCAAACTTCACAAACCAAAACTACCAGTCTTGGAAATTCAAGATTAAAATATTGCTAATAAGAGAAGGTACGTGAAAATGTATAAATGAAGTCAGGGCAGAACACCCTTCAGATGAGTGGATAGAGAAAGACCAGAAAACTCAGAGCGCAATCTGTCTTAGCATAGAAGATGATCAAATCATACATATATGCAAGTGTGAAACTGCTAAAGAAATGTGCATGAAAAAGCTAACATTACGAAAGGTGCATGAAAGAGCTAATCTCAGCACTAAACTGTATTCGATCAGAAAGCTATACCAAACCAAGCTGACGGAAGCCCAGAATATGCAGGATTACATAAGGCACACCCTGAAAATGGCTGAATGCCTGAGAGGTGTAGGAGAAGAAATAACAGAGTTTCATGTTGCATCACTATTATTTGGTGGTTTGCCAGAAAGTTATGAAATGCTTGTCACAGCTCTTGATGCACATCCAGATGATGAACTGGCATTGGAATATGTTAGAGCGGAGCTCCACCCAAGAGGGGAAGTTCCGCTTTAAGGACTGCTCCCCCACTCCCCATTAAGGATTGGCACCTTTGGGGAGCGGGCGGGAGCGGGTACCTGAATTTGACAGGTACCCGCTCCCACTTCTGCTGCGATCACCTACGCGATCGGAAGCGGAAGCTGTCCTCCCCCCTCCCTCCCCATAGTCTTCTGGGACACATGACAGGTCCCAGAAGACTACGGGGTCATTCACAAAGCGCAGTGCTTCTCGCAGTGGGCACCCAGCTGTGAAGCCACAAGCTGTCACAGCCGAGTGCCCACACTGAAGATGCTGGAACCAGGGAGATAAGACGGCCGGTGAAAGCAGCCGTGGTGTGGACACCGCTGGATGGAGGGACAGGTATTGGATCACATATTAAGTCGAGAACTTGCGCTAAATGGTAAATCTCTATAAGAATACAGAGGAGGTCAACATCCTATCACAGAAAAAGAGAAACAAATCGAAGAGGACAAAGAAAAAGAGTAAAGGACAGAGACAGAGAATCGAGGGTAGAGCACGGGACTTCAAGCCACTAGCCATTGTAGGGACTCATAATCACTAGAACAGGTAAAGAGGGAGCAGTAGACCCATTTATGCTGGAACTTTTCTTCCTGGCCACGAACTGCAGCCATTATACTTTTCATTGAGTGGATTTCGTCAATCCTATTCAACCACATGGAGAGAGATGGGGGAGCCTTCTGTTTCCAGAGAGAAGGTATGCATGCCCAAGCAGCATTAATCAAGTGTATTAGAAGGGAGTTCTTGTATCTTTTCCTTAAGAGATCTTGACAGGTACCCGCTCCCACTTCTGGTCCGATCGCCTAGGCGATCGGAAATGGAAGGTGTCCTCCCTGTAGTCTTTTGGGACACGTGACAGGTCCCAGAAGACTACAGGACCATTCATGAAGCGCAGCGCTACTCGCAGATGCTCAGTGGGTACCCGGCTGTGAAATCGCAAGCTATCACAGCCGGGTGCCCACACTGAAGATGCCGGCCTCCTGGAATACAGGACGGCCGGTGAAACGAGATGCGGGGGACACACCACGGGATCAAGGGACAGGTAAGTGGCTGTTTCATAAAAGTCAGCAGCTACAGTTTTTGTAGCTGATGATTTTTATTTTTTGATAGGTCGAGTGGAACTCCGCTTTAAGCACAAGGATGAAGATAAGTGTAAAACAGAAAGCATTAATAGTGATGGTGCTTTTGTCACTTGAGTCTACGTTAAAAACAAAAATAGGAATAAAAACAGCAACATGCAACAAGAAACACAGGAATGCTTTATGTGCAAGAAACAAAGTAATTTAAAAGCATATTGCAGAATCTGAAAAGCTAGAATGCAAAAACAAACTAAATGACAAAAGACCAAAAGTGTGAAGAAATGAACCGACTTTTCTTCATACAAGGAATATGTTTTTCACTCTAAAAAATGCAACTCATCTTTCCAGGAATGGTGTATTGATTCAGAAGCTACGAGTCACATGACAAATGACAGAAATTTCTTTATTCACCTTGACCAGAGTAAAATAGAAAAATCAACACAGTTAATGGGCAAAAAATGGAAACAGAAGGAATAGGAGACAGTTTTCGTTACTGTCCTATTTCCCAGAGTATTGTCAGAAAGATACCCTTGAAAAATGTCCTGTATGTCCCTGGACATCTATTGTCAGGGAAGAAGCTCACAAAATAAGGTTATGTGGTGACCTTCTCAGATGACAGTTGTACTATCATAAAAGGGGATACCTTACTCCAAAAGGCTAAAATTACAGAGGAACTGTATCATCTGAACTTCAGTGAGGTTGTTGGTTAATACTGCCGAGGAGGAAAAAAATTCAAACTACTTTCACACATGGCACAGACGACTTGGGCACAGAAATCCTTACATAATAAAAAAATTAACTGAGAATGACTATGTAAATGAATAAAAATTAGTCCATGTGATCGAACAATGAAATGCATCAGTTGTATAAAAGGAAAAGTGACAAGAAAAGCCTTGCCAAAGCAGAATAACAGCAGAGCTAAGAAAAAAAACCTCTGGACTTAATTCAGTCGGATCTTTGAAAAATTTTCTTCAGGAAAGAAGAGGTATTTTCTCACATTTATAGTTGATTACTCCAGGTATACTGCACAATATCTGTTACACAACAAGAGCAAAGTACCAGAGAAACTTGAACAGGATTTAGTTCAAATAAGCAACAAATTTGGCAAAATATCAAGTGTATTGCGCAGAGACAATGGAACTGAATATACAGGTGATAACACGCATGCGATTCTCAGAAAGCATGGCATAATATTTCAAACTACTGTACCATATAACCCAGAACAAAACGGGATTGCAGAAAGAATGAACTGTACTGTATGTGAGAATGGAAGAACCATGATATTTGATGCATATCTGGGGGGGAATTTATGACCGCATGCTATCTCCCAAGTCAACTACCAGGAAAATCATTTGAGAAAACTCCATATGAACTGTAGAAAGGAAAATCCCTAAATTTGATCTAAAAATCTTTGGAAGCAAAGTCTAGGTGGCCATCTCAAAAGAAAAACATACAAAATGGGATTCTTGCACAAAGGAAGGTGTACTTGTGGGGTACAGTGAATCTCAAAAGGAATACAGGATTCTACACCAAGACACAAACAAGGTAACCATCAGTAGAAGTGTAATTGTTGATGACACTTCAGTGTGTTCAAAATTTCATGAACTGACACAAACGGTTCAAATTGAGGGAAGTTCCACATCAGTGTCACGTGAAGATAAGCTACAAAGTGACACAGAAATAGAAATTTACACAGACAAACCAAATATTGTAAAAGCCGAAACCAGGCCACAAAAGGCTTCAATCAGGAAATCCACCAGAAGCAATAAAGGCAAATGTCTGTCCTATGTTGCTCGTGTAGCATTCAAACCAGAGCCAGATTCATGGCATGAAATGCAAAGACATCCAACCCATGAGAAACAAAAGTGTAAAAGATGCTTTGACACAACAGCTTACAAGAAACAGATTTATAGAACTGAGATCTGAAATGGGACTAATATAAGGAGTAGTTGTTGAGTGGGCATGTTGGAATACATTGTTCATGTATTTTTGTGCAACAACTACTGTACATCAGTATTAGTGTTCAGTAGATATATATATATATATTCATCAACTAGTAGATGGCAGTGTTTAAAAATGTGTTGCTGCATCTGTGATTAAACTCTATGCATTTTCTCTATAATAAAGTTCCTGTTTCCTGTTTGCAGAGAAGCAGTAGGTAAATTGGTGTACTGGTGGACTGTGCACTGTCTGTTCTAATCTCTAACAGCTACAAGCACAAATTAGGTGAATTATTCTCCTTTTTGAAGAAGCAAATAAGGGGGGGGGGGGGGGGGCTGGTGATCACCATGCATAAATACATAAGTGGTCTATATAGTGAACTTGGTGTAGAGTTTTTCACTTTCAGGTCATCACAGAGGACAGGGTGTGGAATAAACTCCATCACAGACTAGTTCCAACCAATCCAGTAGATTGTTTTAAGGAAGAGCTGAATGCTTTCCAAAATGCATTAAATGTAATTGAATGGTAGCACTACCCTCTTGAGGGCTGCTGGATTTGTTTGGGTCCCCCTAAGCTTCAGACGACCAGGCAACACGCATTTTCCACACTTGGAGTCAGTAAACAGTCCTTGAGCTGGTTTTTCCTCTCCTGATTTACCCCCCTTCCTGACCAGGCCATTTTTTGCATTATGGCGCTGTGTTATTTTAACTGACAATTGTGCAGTCGTGCAACACTGCACCCCAAATGAAATTTACCGTATTTTTCGCTCCATAAGACGCACCTGACCATAAGACGCACCTAGGTTTTAGAGGTGAAAAACAAGAAAAAAAAATATTCTGAACCAATGGACTGCAGACACAGTACAGGGGATGACCAGAGACTGCGGACACAGTACAGGAGATGACCAGAGACTGCGGACACAGTACAGGAGATGACCAGAGACTGCGGACACAGTACAGGAGATGACCAGAGACTGCTGACACAGTACAGTAGATGACCAGAGACTGCAGAAATAGTGCAGGAGATGACCAGAGACTGCAGACACAGTACAGGAGATGACCAGAGACTGCGGACACAGTACAGGAGATGACCAGAGACTGCAGAAACAGTACAGGAGATGACCAGAGACTGCGGACACAGTACAGGAGATGACCAGAGACTGCGGACACAGTACAGGAGATGACCAGAGACTGCAGAAACAGTGCAGGAGATGACCAGAGACTGCGGACACAGTGCAGGAGATGACCAGAGACTGCGGACATAGTACAGGAGATGACCAGAGACTGCGGACATAGTGCAGATGACCAGAGACTGCGGACACAGTACAGGGAATGACCAGAGACTGCGGACACAGTGCAGGAGATGACCAGAGACTGCGGACACAGTACAGGGGATGACCAGAGACTGCGGACACAGTGCAGGAGATGACCAGAGACTGCGGACACAGTACAGGGAATGACCAGAGACTGCGGACAGTGCAGGGAATGACCAGAGACTGCAGACAGTGCAGGGGATGACCAGAGACTGCGGACACAGTGCATTGAATGACCAGAGACTGCGGACAGTGCAGGGAATGACCAGAGACTGCAGACAGTACAGGGAATGTCCAGAGACTGCGGACACAGTGCATTGAATGACCAGAGACTGCGGACAGTGCAGGGAATGACCAGAGACTGCAGACAGTACAGGGAATGTCCAGAGACTGCAGACAGTGCAGGGAATGACCAGAGACTGCTGACCTTTGGGAAGGGAGGGGGAGCGGTTACCTGAATTTGACAGGTACCCGCTCCCACTTCCGCGGAGTTGCCTTTCCTCTTCTTCCCGGGCCGGCTTCTGTGACAGCCGGGTGCCCACTGCGCAGGTGCGAGAAGCACTTCGCTTTGTGAATGGCCCGGCGCCTTCTGGGACCCTTCATGTGTCCCAGAAGACACCGGATCGTTCACAAAGCGCAGCACATGCGCAGTGGGCACCCGGCTGTCACAGAAGCCAGCGCGGGAAGACTGTGCAGCGCTGGAGCGAGGAACAGGTAAGGCCCTGCAGGAGACAACAGCTGAGCGGCCGGCCCGGTATTCTGACATGGTGGTGCAAAAATACCGGACCGGCCGCTTTATATTCGCTCCATAAGACGCACTGACATTTTCCCCCCTTTTTGGGGGGGAAAAAAGTGCGTCTTATGGTGCGAAAAATACGGTACGTCCTTTTTTCCCACAAATTGAACTTTGTTTTGGTGGTATTTGATTGCCTGTGTGGTTTTTTATTTTTTGCGCTATACAAAAAAAGACCGACAATTTTGAGAAAAAAACAATATTTTTTACTTTTAAACATGTCCAGTAAAAAATGTAAAAAATCAAATTTCATCATAAATTTAGGCCAAAATGTATTCTGCTATGTCTTTGCTATCAAAAATCCCAATAAGTGTAAATTATTTGGGTTTACGTGAAAGTTCTAGCGTTTACAAATGGCGGTATATATACTGGGATTTTTTTAATCAAATTTTTTATTTTTACTAGTAATGGCGGCGATCAACGACTTATAGCGGGACTGCGGGTGGGCATTCTGACACTGGGGGAAACTGACTTGGTTTCACCGACATCCCTAGTGACACCAATACAGTGATCAGTGCTAAAATAAAGCACTGACACTGTACTAATGGCACTTGGCAGGAAGGGGTTAACATGAGGGGCGAACAATGGGTTAACTCTGTGCTGTTTTACTTGTGTCTGTGTCCGTGTGTTTCACTGCAATCACACTGCTTTGGATGGCTGTGCTGTGCACGAGCTGACAGGGAGGAGAACTGTTTTGTTTACAAACAATTCTCCTCCCCATTGGAGATGCTTGGCAATCACCGGGCTCTGGCGAGTACTTGCCAGCCTGGACTCAGTGAGTGACAGCCGCGAATGGCGGCGCAGGTAGGGCATGCATGCGCCCCCTACCCGGAAATGCGAAATCACGTATATATAGCTGATTTTGTGCATCCATGCCGCCCAGTT